GAAGGAGCCGCATCAACCTCGGATCGCCTTTTGCTTCTATTTGATTCACAAACACGTGATCAATTAGAGCACAAGCAACCGAGGTGGGGTGACTAGCTTAACCTGATTGGGTAAGCATGTGAACATTCTAGGCACGGCTACACTACCACATCTTCTATGCCAGCATTTTATATTCGGTTACGAGGATATCTGTTAGGAAGGTAAGTCACACCAATCATGGGTTGATAGTAATAAAAATTAAATTTATCGCCTAAAAAAATTTCATGAGTAAGATAAGTTCTAACAAATTTGGAGAGCAGGAATTTTGTAAATATTTGCCCGAACTATTTTTTACAACCTATCTGTTGACGTTTACCAAATTAATGCATATTCAATCAATCTACCAATTCTAGCAGCGGCTTGGAAATCGTTTATACTCAGTTCTATCGCTGGGCTACAGCGCTTTGTCCAGGTGCTGGAGAATACCATTGCGATAATGCCCGATGTGTTAAGGTATGGTTCTCCCTTTCTCAGTCAATCGATTTATTGATTTATCAACCATACAACTTGTAGAATCATTACCACTGTTGTGCCATTGTTGAGTTGTTTTCGGTTTTTGTTAAATCTAATCCTCCTAAAGTCAATAATGCATTTTGATTGTTTTTAGTTTTTGTTAAACGATATAAGACAATTATTTGTACGAAATACGACAATTACAGAATGACAGAATATCTCGAACATGCAAAGAATACTAGAAAATGTGACTTATCGTTAGTAGCAAAAAAGTAAGAATGATTTTTTTAGTCTACGTTACGATGTGATGGAGTGAATCATTGCGGTGATGGAAGTGATGAACAATGTCAACGACCAATTTCGGATTTCAAACAACCGTGAGTAAAAAAGAAAAAAAGCAAGCACGAGTAAAATTACGATTAAAAGAAAATACAGAAAGGGGCTTGCACGGAACATAATCGAGTCAGCAACTTAACCCACTGACGACAATGTGAGCCACCGGTGGCTCACGCCACTTGCAAAA